GTATTTGAAAAGTATTCCAAATACTTTAAAAAAGTATTTGAGTAGTATTTGAAATACTATACAACTGAAGTATTTGAGTAGTATTTTAAATACTTAAAAAAAAATGTATTTGAGTATTTACTMAAATACTTTTTAAAAGTATTTTTTACAGGTCTGTGTGCTTATAAACTGTATCATCAAAGCGAATTAAAAAATTTAACACAAGTTACTTTTAAGTTTTAATTGAATAATTTCAACACACGCCACATCATCGCATATCAGCTGTGACGACGTTTTAATCAAAACAATAAAAATATATTTTGTTTATTTTAAATATGCGGACAGTACTATATATGGATGTGATATAACTGACACTATATATTGCATAGATGGAAGATGTATCGTAATTTTAATATAATATTAATAATTTATATATATGGAATTATGACAACCATCGATCCCACGCGCTCAATATCATTATACGCTGAAAAAACACTGTCATTATTAATAATAATGATTCTATAATTATTATTTCAAGCTAGGTATTTGACAATATAATATGTATAATAGTACTAATAAATGTTTACCATGCAAATTATAATAATATATAGGTATGCGTATGAACCATATAGAGTATATATAGATACCTATATACATAACCGATTGATAATTATTAAGTGCGTGAAAGAGAAGCACTATTTTGCTTTGTATTTTTATTGTAAATAAGGAATGGATGTTAAGAAAGAAATAATTGGAAGAAATGTCAAATTTAAGTCAAAAATTTGCATAGAGCCGTTTTTTTAAATAAAATTGGAAGGGAGAAAAGCGGTGGTCACAATATGTGCATGGTGGATACGTGTTTAATGGCTTATAAGTTATAACAAAACGGCGAGTGAAAGGCGCGCTTACGAATATAAGAGCGATTTTTGTGAGATTTCTGGTTAAATTTTGAACTTTGCTTTAAATCAGTCATTAGACAAAATCACCCACTTCACCGAATGATACATCTTATGAATTATAGGAATTACTTAGCTTTAATTATTTTTTTATTTTTTTATTTTTTTAATTATCCCGCGGCAACTAAGGCCATTGGAAAGGGGGTAGTACTGTAGGTAGTTATGGAACTGTAGGTTAGTTTTACACGTTGGTGAGAGTTTTGGCAGAATTTCTATTGGGGCACTCGTAGGTTTCTGCCATGCCCGGAGTGGGGGGATGGCGGCACTTGTTCTCCGGACACCGTGACTTGCCCGGAGAAAAATGCCGCCCGATGGTCGAGGATCCCCAACTATTTTTTGTTATTTGGCCATTAATGCATTTACTAAATATGTTACAAATTTATGTTTCATTAAATCTCTATGACTCTATTTAATTTTTGTTAAATTTTCCGTTTGAGTGTTGATTTATATAAATAAATAAAAAGTAGATATTCAAAATATTTTTAAAACACTTATGAGCAACGATTTAAAATAATTTACGAAACATAGTGAGCGTTTTAAGTAT